TTGTGACATTTGATTACGGTAACAATGGATCACCACTAAGGTAGCTTATGGTCTTTTCCCCTTTTATACAAATTGAAATTTGTGATACGATACGATATTGTGTTACATATTTCCATTTAAAATATTGCTGCATTGAAAATTTCTGCAAGCTTCAAGTAAAACGGAAAAGACAAGCAATGAAAAGTTATGTACCATTTGAAACGGCAAATGTTTGCCTGGAATATGGTATATATGCGATATATGCCGAAACCACATATTACCGTCACCAAACCGTGTCTTCACCCACCTTGTATATTTACATAATTTACTTTAAAAAGCTGCAAATGATGTCATACAAAATAAAAGTCATTACGATTATAATACTTGTTTTATATCCTACCGTAAGTAGTGATTCTTTCCGAAGATACCCTACACCATCACCGTTGTAAAGATATGCTTTGTGAACGGAAATTAGGCCAAAAATGCCTGCTAGTGCACCCTGAAAGTATAAACAAGTAAGATATACATCCGTTAAAACCGTCACCGTCAGTATTCGACACACTTGTTTATCTTCAAGCGGCGAGATAAATTGTTTATCCTAGTCACATACCAGCATTTGGACGTGTTTCATATCAGTTCAAACCTTTAAAAGTAGCCAACTTTTTTCTATGTAGACTGCATGTTCTATCTATCTTTTAAATCATTGCATATTTAATATGCCAGAAAACCTTTCTTAATTTGACTGTCTTTACTGAAACCTTTACAATACTTCGGAAACTAAATCAGTCTGAACGCTCTAAAACCGAGTCTGCAACCTTTTTAGTTTTGCCGCGTTGGGCTTTCTTTAGGGATTCTTATTTCACTTTATTTTTTCGCCACATCAGCGTTGTTTGTACCGTGTGGAGGCTGTAAAAAGTCGCCCCTTACATTCATTCAGGGATGTCATATTTCCTATCCTTAAAGATCGTTTAGCACGATATTATTGTTGTGCTTGTTGTATTTTAGTTCTTTCTATTCGGCATATTTCTTGTTGGGTGATTCCAGTATTCCTCACTTGAATACTATCGAATCACCCTTAGGATATATGACCTGCTTTTTAAAATTGTCTTTTGACGTTATATCTGTGATATGCAGACTTCATAACCTCCGATCCCCTTTTGAAATTCCATTTAATTTACACATTGTTCCGCCCACTGTTTTATCGTTTAGGGCACGCGCATTATTTTAATTTGGTACCATATGCCGCTTTTCATGGAATGGCACTAACGTGTCACATTGAAGGTTCCATGATAACTGCCATATGAACACATCTGCGGATGTTTCAAAATTCTAAATTTAACCAGTTCATATTAAATGTTGAATACTGCTTAAGCCGGCACTAGAGGGCGTGGACGGTAGTTTGCACTTGACAGTACCGTCCATGAACATGCTCAATCAATCCGAGCCTGCAATCTTTTTAGTTTTGACGCGTTGGTTTTTTTTAGGGATTCTTATTTCACTTTATTTTGGCTGAACAAGAAATGTTTCACGTATGTAAAATATAAAGAAATATAATCTTTTACAGAAGATGACAGACTATATTATTGATACATACCGCAAATCCGCAAAGAAATCCACGAAAAATATAATATTTTCATTTTGGTTTTGGAAAAAAATGCTTTAGAGAAATCAGCTTCTTTAATGCAAATTAACTGGTTTTAAAAGAAAACATTTTGATTGTCGTTCATGAAGCTTTTCACACTTGTATGTTAAAAATATCTATCCACATTCGACAATATTTGTAAGTAAAATGTAATTCAGTATTGCATTTGTGAAGTTTTTTTTCTAACATTTTTGAAACTTGGACAATGTAATTTATATTGAATATTGTTTACCTCAAGTTCGGCAAACCTGGTCTGTTTTCTCTATATAATGGAAACTAATCTTAAAGAACGGATAAACGAAAGGGGAAAACTGCCAATAATAAAATCAACAGATCAATTTTATAAGATATATGAATCTTGCATGGAAATAAATTCATCTGAAGTGCTTTAGAGGAAATCAGGCATGTGCTTAATGAAAATATTGTTTTAAAAAGACCACATTCTGATTTGTTCGTGACAGCTTCACACTTGTAGTTAAAATGATCTCATCCCCTATTTTCATATATCTAATATACATTTTGTATTGTTGCATTGGTGTATTTTTTAAGCGAAAACATTTGAAACTTGTACTATGTAATTTTATATTCAACTATTGACCTCAAGTTCGAACAAACCTGGTCTGGTTTTCTTATATATTTAAACTGATCGAAAGTCGAATAACACCGACAGTGTGACTTTAAACCCCAATAAAAAACTACAATGTATCAACTTATACCATATTATGAACATTGGCACATGGATTATAAATGTACTGTTTACTTCTCTGTTTACAATGACTGGAATTTCAATCTAAAGTATAACTCCTAGTTCAATAAATCTTCCAATTCATTTGAATAGTTAAACGTCAGAATGATTATCCATTATTTTTTACTTCAATAGTAGATACGTATACAGACACACGCATTTTGAGTAATGCATCAATATTCCATTATGTTCTTTGTAGCATGTATTTATTTAATCGATCTGCCAATTTGGTTTTAAACTCACAGCTAAGTTTTTAACAATTTTCGATAAACTCTTATTATAATGCTGATGATTGATTACTTTAAGTTTATCCAAAAACATAGATCATAATTGACACCAAGCTTTTTTATCTTTAAATTTTCTTGAAATGCAGAGTATATCAGTGATATAAAGTTGGTTTTGAGTATAAAAGCATACATAATTTTTTGTTGATTGCGTAATAATATTTACATGTAATGGATATCTTCAAGTTTCACCAAGAATAGCATAATTTGCAGAATATTTGTGAACTCCAAGAATATATCTTCAAACTTTCATATGCAATTTGTCACAATATAGATTTTTAAATGAGTTTTCAATTACAATAATCATCTTTTTTAACACTACATGAGTAAATATTCACAGGACCCTCAACTTCACATGAATAAAAAAGAATAGGTTTTTGGCGGGGATTCATTTTATTTACACCGTCTTGTTTATAGGAACATGCTGGGGCTAAGAGCGAGGTTTGGTGCACCATTAACCGGTTTAAACTCCCCCAGAAGTATTTATGCTGCTGACCGTTCCAAGGCGGCGCCCCTCTATGTTCCTCAGATGTATGTCTATGTTGTTTTATACTGTTTTGGTGACACTTTTGTGTCTCTTGTTGTTTCTCGTCTACGGTAAGTATCTTCCCCTTTGCCCCTAGTTTTTATTTATTTTATTTATTCCCCCCCTTCCCCGGGTCTCATGTCCCCTTCCCCTGTGCCTTTTGACTTTATGGGCCTAATATTCAATCATTTATTTGTTTTCTTTAAGTTCCTTATCAGTTACTAATTATTTATTCTTATGTAGTGGTTTGCCTGCCCGTGCTTGGGATCCTCCTGGGCTCCTTGCCACTGACGCTTGTTACTGGGTCGGGTGGGGGCTGCGTTCATTGAACGCCGCCTTTCCTTGTCGATCTTGTTTATCATATTTTACAGTATGATCAAATTTTTTAAAAATGTTTTATACTACTTTTCACGGCAACAGAATATCTTGTTAGTTTAAATTAAGCTCGAATGGCACGTTTATACAGATCTTATTGACAAACAGTAAATGAGCCATTTGAACTGTATAAAATACCTAAATATATATGTTACTTGTTGCAAAAGTTTAATATGAACGTAATTATCTTTGTAGATGTCTCTCAGAACATTTAAAAATATATCCATTTATTCTAATATTATTAAACTTGACTACAAGAGTAGAGTGTAAAAAGGTATTTAGGTATATCAAAAGCCCTGGAAAAAAATCTACAAAATAGGTGTAAAGCGATTTTAAATTAGTAGTACAAATATATGATCACTAGTGCGTGCCTTTTAGCTGAAAACCTCTTTGTACATTGTGTAAAATATCATTTCCATCCAAATATAGTCTTTTATGTGAATTTGTTAAAGAATAATTCACTAACCTGGAGAAGGCATTCTTTTCCTGTTACAGTAAGCCACAAATACTTAAAAGGGGATAATGGTCCAGTTTTAAAGGTTTTTATGTACGGAGTAAGAATGGGTTTTTCCAAATACAGTATTGATTAAATTTTACAGGGTATGTAAACTTTTTGTATGCAAGTTACGTCATGTGACTTGCGAGATTTTACGATACTTTGCACTTCCGGGTGCAATTGCTAATCTATAGTGGGTAAAACTTGTATGCCACTTACACATAAAAGTATTTTATATAACGAAACGCAAATGGTTTCATTTTTAACAAGAATCAATAAAAGACACTACTGTAAGTATAATCTTCAAGTGGATGTGTCATTTCGAATTCAGTTTATCGCCAAAAATGTTATAATATACTGAAATATGTTTTAAATAGAAATTTCGGACAACGCAGATTTCGGATAGAATGTTTGAATAATGATTATCAGTGTGTTTTAGTTGAATATATTTTCTTCTAACTGAAAATAGTGTAAAGCCCAAATTGTCAAGCTGTTTAACCAATTTAAATGGCCATAAAATTTAGTGAAATATTTTGCTCGTGTAGGTATAGACTGAGTGAATGACGTCAGTATCCGATATAAGTTGTTGGAATACAAATGACATGATGTAGCTGCTGCATAATCGTTTTGGTAAGAAATACACTTAAATCTACTAAAATAATATTAATGAAAAATAAATAATATGTTATGCCCACATAAAAGATTTTATGTCATTGGACCCTATTCGTGACGTCCGGAACTTAACGATGTTAATCAGATTTTAGCTAGACGCATAAATTATGCTATTACCCAATCAGATGTTTACATTTTATCATGTGATTTTTCTAAGCCAAAAGATATGCAGATAAGCCATATCTTTGCTCATTTTTGGCGTACATTGTTTTGTTGCCAATTTTCAAAAAATAAAATAAAACCACCTCCTCCAACTCCACCACCTCTTTCAAATGTTGCCAAGATCAGGGTCCATGAAAATATGATACATGCTTTTTTACTTATTCTTGTTCTAAAATTGATCTAGTCTCTTTTGTTTTCTTGTTAATACATCAGGTCTTATGTTATAACATCTTGATACTTTGTAAGGGCGGTTTTTGCCTCCCAGTTAGTTCCTTTCGGGAACCTTTTATTAAACTATGTTACTAAATCTATTTGTGTATTTAGTATAAATAATGCTAGTTTATGGCATTTTAAATAAATGCCCGATTTTCATTAAAATCATGTGTTGTTTTCCCTTTTTTCCCTAACGAGTTCGACCTATCCTGTGATTTTAACCCTGATCTTGGACAATACATAAATATTTTTGTATAACATTATGTTCTCGTTTTTGTACATAATTACATTTTAGCTTAGTTAACAAACAGTATGGCATATGTCTATAGTTTATTTCTGTTAAATACTGATTTAAGGTATTTTTCTAAAGTAAGAGGGTATTTTTTGTAAAAAAAAATATGTTCTGTTAATGATTAATACAACTTAGTCACTATCATATTTCTATCCATTATTTGTTTGCCCTCTGTTAAAAAGTATTGATCAGTAGTCAAAGCAAATCTACATATCTAAACTAAAGTGTTTCTTCCTTTTCAACATTTTTTTCTTTCATGACAATACTGAATTTAGGTATGACATTGTACAATATTGTAGCTGACTAATTATTACTAATTTCACCTCATGATAAATTTTCTTTATATGCAGGTATGTGATTTTATGGTTGGATCTTGAGTACTTGTCATGCCTCTTTAATTATTTTGGAGTGTTCATTACCAGATAAGAAACCAGCTTGTTATACCACCGGACACGGTTGAAAGGAAATGTTCATACTCAGCCATGGATAAGACAATGGTAGAGACATGGCAGTCCATTACAAATTTTTGCCTGAGTTAAAGCCTCTTATAACTCTATGACTTAGGTTAACAGTCTGACTGAATTGTTGTATTTTAATAAAAGCTAAGATTGAAGACATTTCAAAGATGTATATAAGTGTGAAAATGTTAAACAAAATATTTACACTATTATTACATAATATGCCATTTTTTTACTTTGCATAAATTTATATTTGGCTATCTTTTACACAGATTATTTATTCTCTGCAAATGACCAATGGAATCAGACTAGATGCGAAACAAGTCAAGATAAAATTGTTATAAATAGACTTGTTAGGTTTTAAGAGTGCTAAAGAGATAAATTTGTGGCACTCAAATCTGTTATTTTTTTATTCTTATTTGAGCAAAGTCATCACGTCAACTTGATCACAGTAACTGTAAAAGTAATGTTATCTATTAACATTTTGTGTATCAGTTTTATCGATTCAATGGATTTTTATGGCACATAATGCCTCTGAAAGGCCTATATTTGTATTTCCCAAAAGCTTTTGTATTTGGTTTCGTGATACAGTTTCCAAAAAGTAACTAATTTGCAAATAACCTGAACCATCATTTGCTTCTCTTACTTTTAAGCAGCAAGTAAAGTTATTTTGAATAAGTATTTTGTATGAAAGTCTGTGTTTAAATTTTGTTACTTTTATGACAGATATTTTTATTGCACTTCTTTCTCCGGGTTATAAGCATACGATATGCCCTATAACCATTATTTTAAATATATAAGGGATTACATAAAAGCGCAAGCAAAACTACGAAAGACTGCTATAAATGTTAAAAGTGATATTTGTAAATATAGAAGTGTCTTTTGCAACTATTTTGAGGTGGTCCCATAAATGAAACAATTAATGCACACGAGTCAATTAAAGATGCATGTGTGTCTGGCAGAAAACTGACAAAAACATTCTCCAGCTTATTATTGACTAAGAATTTCAATAACCTAGATAGCCTATATTGCAGGGATACTAAAAGTGTCAAATCAAACGCTTGTAAGTTAGGCGAATAATTGCAAGATGGATACGACATCTGCTAACATCTGACCAGAAAAGAGAGCGGGTTAAATGCGCTGGAAAGTTACTAAAACTTGTTTTCTAAATATGACAGTTTTTCTAATACTGTGACTGTTGAAGAAAGCTGGTTTCACTATTTTATGCCAGTTCGCAAGTGTCGCAATAAAATTTCGGCCTCCTAATATGGCCGCCGACCATACATTGCCAAACGATTGACAGGATCTCTTTTTACTTCTTCCGGACGTGTCTTTGTATTTTGTTTCATTTGCTGTTTCGTCTGTTATATCTGAAACTCCTTCTACTGGTCTATTCCTATATGTTCATGGCCTGCCACGTCCTTCTGATAACTTTTTATTGTCATCTACCAATGTGTACTTCTATATGTTTTACTTTTTTATCATCAAGCGCATTATCCCTTATTTTTTATGCTTCTGCTGACGTGTCTCCTCTTACATCTTTCATCCTCTGAAAAGTCGCACTCTCCATTCATTGTTTCTCTCATGTCTCTCTATTGTCACGTGAGTGTTACACAATCGTTCTATGCTTTTTATATACATTATATGTATCGATTTATATCTATAGTTTTCCTCTTCCCAGTCTTGCTACTTTTTGACGTATAAAAAGTGCCAATTTCCTAATTTATAGAAATAAACTTGAGTTTTTTTTTCTTTAATTTGTAGTTGGCACTTGCACAAACCAGCACGACAATGTGATACGCTTCAATTCCCTAATAAAACCAAATGTACTGTCATTTTAAACTCTAACACTCAAGATTATGACTAATATATAAATCCGGTAACACAGTGATCTCTCGGAAGCATTAATCACAACAAAATTACAAGAGAATTGCAGACTCGGTTTGATTGAGTCTGAGTCTGTACATGAGTGATAATAAATACGTGCAACATCCCTCACGCCCCCTAGAACCGACTTGAGCGGTGCTCAATTCTAAACACCCGAAGGACCAGAAAAAATCTTTTAAAAAATACTATATCCACAACTGCATTAATTAAATGAATAGAGAAAATCGGAATCCCTAAAGAACGCACCAAACGGTAAAATCGAAAATGTTTCAGGCTTGGTTTGTTAAGGTCTGTTCATGAACGACAATGTTTTATGGCTTAATGCTTGATTAACTTTACAATGGAACTTATAACAGCAAATGAATGAACCGAACCGATATCAATCCATACAAAATACAAAAAAACACATATACACATCCAAATGGCAACCACGTTTGAATACACAACGAATGATTTCATGTGGTCCTTTCTTTGGAGAAGAAGTTCTTCTCCATGCTTGAACAGATTATAACTGACTGATCAAACATAAATATATAAATGCATGCGAGAATAAAATCAAACAAGGTCGACAGGGTAGTCTTTCTTAAAAAAAAACAATAACCAGAAAATCAATTGGTTAAAACTGAATAGAAATTGCATAAACAACAATGTTTAATTTATAGATTTAATTAACAGGTAACAAAGAAAACAATGATATCAATGTTTTGGTAAATATACTGATCATATTTGCAACAGATAAAATAAAATAACATGCAAAGTCATATCACAGGATAAATAATGTGTGAAAACTTGTTATATTTAAATAACATAAACAAAGTTAAACAATGATAAATATAAAAATATATCAGAAACAGTCCCACGATGTCGTGATTGTTTCTTGATGTTATATTTTACAAAGGTTTAAAATAGACATTCTCCCGAACTGCTTCATCAGACAAAAATACATAAAAGTGTTTCCAATTCTATACTTTCGACTGATATTTTTAGTTTTTCATTACCTAGGAACTGATCATAAAATCTTAATATTTCTTATGAATTGCCTTAATCTGAAGGCATAGTTTTATCTTGAAAATTGCTCGTATCAACTGACATGACACATCAAAATATTGAGACAAACCCGTCTTGCTTTGATTCGTTATGCATTTTTGTTTTGAAAAACATTTTTTGAAACAAGTTTTACAATAATTTAAACGGCAACATCAATATTAACATCAATATTATGTAACTGTGGTTTATCTACCAGTCAATTTCTAATATGATATAACAGCGATGAAAGGGCACTATGAATGAAACAAAAATTAAATACTTCAAATAAAATTTAAAGTAACACATGTTATATTGATTATATGTGTGGCATGATATAAGATGAATTTGTTTCGCGACCATGTGTGTTACTTCCAAAAGAGCAAAAATAAAGTGACGTTGTTATATCCAGTATTTTATAGACAAAAATGTTATAAATGTTTTGTCCACTAATAAATATTTGGTTCCTTTCGGGGAAAAATATGTTTAATCACTAAAAACTTCTACAAATAGTTTAGCACTTTTCAATATTTCAATGACAGTTTCAATGTTCCACTATTTAAGTTATGGCTAGTATGAATATGGCGGTGGTGGCGCTGTCGGAACAGAAGTTTGTTGGACACCATATTGTGTGGGATTCTGTCCAATGCCGAAAGATGGTGGAGCCGGAGCATACGGTGGGGGATTTGAACCTGGGTTATAACCTCCAGAGGTGTAAACTTGTTGTTGAGCGTACGGAGACTGGCCCTGATAATACTGGGTTCCTCCGACCGTGTTTGGGTAATTAGCATGATTAACTCTCTGATTGTAGCCTTGGTTGTGACAGCATGTGCCCATGGTCATAAATGACAGGAGTGTAACTAGTAGCAGAAGAACAATTCCTGATAAAATACATGCTGATAATATGACGTGCGTTTTATGCCCGTCATTGTCTTCATCATCATCGTTTACCAGAAATAATATATTCATCAAGATTCCAGAGATGGACATGAAAAACAAAATGTAGCCAAAGATCATTTGTAAACATGCCTGAAAATATACGAGAAAAACGTATTAATAAAGTAAACACTAGTGACTACTATTTTGCGATAATATTTTATATTATCAGAGGCGTCAGAACATATATTTTAACAATTTTGAGACTAATTCAATACAAACGTTATTCAAACATTGAATTCCATTTTTATTCTGTGGCAACTTCAAAAGACTAATAATGCAAATCAATTGCAAGGTCAAAATTCGAATAACTCTTTTAACTATTGCATTTCGGGCAATTTAATAAATATGCTTATAATCAGGGCGGGTGATGACATGACGTTTGATTACGGTAAAATTGGATCACCGCTTAATTAGCTCATGTTCTTTCTCCCTATATGGGGCGTCCGTGGCCGAGTGGTTAAGGTCGTTGACTTCAAATCACTTGCCCCTCACCGCTGTGGGTTCGAATCCCGACTGGGACTTTGCATTCTTTCATGTGAGGAAGCTATCCAGCTAGCTTACGGAACTTCGGTGGTTCTACTCAGGTGCCCGTTCGTGCCTGAAATAATGCACGGAAGGGCACGTGAGGTCTTCCTCCACCAGTAAAGCTGGAACGTCGCGATATGACCTATACTGTGTCGATGTGACGTAAAACCCAAAACAAACAAACAAATTCTCCCTATATGCAAGCAGAAATTTATGACACACTGTTACTACATATTTTTTTTATCAAAAATATTGCTGCATTGAAAATATCTGCAAGCATAAAGGAAATATTAAAGGACCTACTACCATTGAAAACGGCAAATGTTTGCCTGGAATGTTGTCTTTGCGATATATGCCGAAACCCAATGCTACCGTAAATAAACTGTGTATTCATCCACCCTGTATACTTCCATAATTTACTACAAAAAAGTGAAATGATGTCATAAAAAACAACGCCTTTGCACTATAATACAAGTTTTATAACTTACGGTACATTGTAATTCTTTCCGAAGATGCACGACATCGTCACCGTTGTAAGCAGATGCTTTGTAAATGGAGAATATGCCACAACAGCCTGCTAGTGCACCCTGAAAGTATGAAATAGTAAGATATACTTCCATTGAAATCGTCACCGTCAATATTCGACATAAGGACTTCCAAAGTGAAGTGTTGCGTACATACTTCATCAGTCTGGTCTAATCTCTATAAGGTCATATTACCGAGTGCTTCTCGTAAATTATATGTCATTCATGCCGCACATAATACTCTCTCCAAGTGTCCAGTTTATAATAGATCTATGTAGACTCGATGTTCTGATCTTATCTTTAGAATTATTGTAATTAATTAATTTTCCAGAAACGTTTGCTTCAGACGATTGTCTTCACTGAACAATACTTTAGAAACTATCGGTAACGGACGTTGGCTGAACAAGAGATTTTTCACAATATAAAGAAATACCATCTATTACAGAAGATGACAGACTATATTAATGACACATACCGTAATTCCGCATGTAAATCCACCAATAAAGTAGTTATTAAAAAAATCTTCTTGTTTCGTCACTGCTATTACGGCGCAAACAAATATACCAACACCTAGAAAAACTTGTGCTCCAGAAATGAACTTCAATTTCTCAATACTCGATTCGCGCACAGACTTCTCTAAAATGTCAAAGAAAAATGCTTTTCAAAGAAAAAAATGGATACACGTTCATGAGACATTTGAATTTCAGAGACACTTGATATGCTTAAATATTTGTATACTCATTTGAAACAATCATGTGTAAGTTGGGTCGGGCTTAAATTCCATTTTGGAAGGTGCCGCTATTTGAGATCATAAAATTTGTTTCAACAGCTTCTTAAATCATATTAAGTTCGTGCATTGAATTCTTTGAAAGTTACTATCAAGCTAAGGGACGGGATATCACTGACTCTGTTAAGATAATAATCTAAGATGAATTCTTGTAGAGAAATAAAAGACTTTGTCTAATATCAGACTGAGACGTTTATGAAGAAGAATATAGATGCATGTTCATAAAAAAGAATTCATTTTAAAGTACATGTACTTCTATATGAAATCGAGCATGTGGAAATTTTATAAGTTCAAAGAAAATATTGTTTAAAAAAAGGACATATTCTTATTTGTGTGTGAAAGCTTAAAATGATTTCATCCCCTTATTTTATATATTTAATACACATTATGTATTGTTACATTGATGTATTTTTAAAGCGAAAACATTTGAGACTTGTACATTATGGAATTGTAAATTTTAAATTTGACCTCAAGTTCGAACAAACCTGATCTGTGATTTCTTATACTGCTCGGAAGTCGAATAAAAGCAACAGTGTGATTAAAAACCCCAATTATAACCATCATCTTATACCATGCTATTATTGACACCGCGGCGCATGGATAATAAATTTGGTTTTAACTTCTCTGTTAACAATAACTGGAATTTCAATCTTAAGTATTAATACAAATCCAAGTTCAATACATCCTCCAATTTATTTGAATAGTTAACCATCAATTTTTATATCAATAGAAGATACATAAACATCCATTCATCTAAAGTGAATAAAAAAGATTACATGTACATGTGATATCGATTTAATCAAAATCAAAGCAAACAATTGAAAGAAAAAATATGTGAATTTGTTAAACAAATAATTTACTAACCTGGAGAAAACATTCTTTTTTTCCGTTGCAGTAAGCCACCAATATTTAAATGACGATAAGGAATATTTACTAATAATCCAGTTTTAAAGGTTTTTATGTACCGAGATAGAACGGGTATTTCAAAATACAGTATTGATATTGATTAAATTTTACCTATTGGCCGTACCGAACTTAGAGATCGATAAATTACAAGCGTACCCACACAGTATACGTGAAAAAAAAAACAAATGTAAACATTACGTGTGCCTTTTAAGATTAAAGACTATATATGAATTTAGTATGAGTAATAAATTGGCATGTTTAAATGTAATATGCGATCTTTTATGTCGTTTTAAAAAGTAAAGATACTCGTTATTCATATAAACACTGTCGTGTAAGCTTTGGCTGAAAATTTTAAAAACAGCTTTATTTTTTAATTGAATAATTCTTCAGGTTAAAGACCGCCGGCTTATTATGTCCCCGGCGCTTTCCTGAATGTGAGAAAATGTAAAGAATCATTGCTCATGACTGAAAGTATGCACTTATAGTCCCTTTACCAAAACAATGTTGATGTGACGTACAAAACAAACAAAAATGCTGTAAGTCAAACACGATAACGTTTACATTATTCGGTCGTACCAGTATGATATAATGAGTTGTGCAGGTTATTCAATTATTACATATTGCATTTTTATGGCAATAATAGAAGAATAAAACTTGGTATGAAAATGTAAACCTGAGTAGCGTAGTGCTTAGACAGTTCACGTTATGAGCATGTTTATTTTTCGAGTTCAAATCTGCAATTGTGTGCATCTATTTTTTGAGTGTGGTTTTACTTACAGAATATATTTTTATAGTTTGTCACGTAAGTTTTGATTTTCTCTATTTTGAATCTGTAATTATTAATGTTTTGCACAATTGAATGTTAAACTAATAACAGTTAAGCAAAATTGAATGTATTTGATTTTTTCATTGAACACATTGAATAGTATTATTGATTTCATTCTATTTGAAATTCTGAATTCCATTCGCTATATTTTTAACAATTTTGGCTCATTTGTATATATCTATTTTCTTCCATTGCTTTTTATGCATTCAATTGATTATCATTCTGATTATTGGCTGTGATGACTTTACCTCAGTCTGTTGAATGCAATCGAATCTATGTAAAACTTAATGTTTTCAAATAATTATGTGTGTATGAAGCATAGCAAAAATAGAAGGGCAATCTAATCAGGGACATAACTGGAAAAAGGAGGGGCAATAATTAAAAGGAAAACCAGAGCTGTATTGAATAGAAAAAGGTCATCATAACCAGGAAAGAAAGAGTAATCATAACTAGAATGTTTCTAAACGAAACAGATGCCCCTTTATATATGTTAGAATTCTGAATAATATGAATAAAGATGTTATAAAAGGACATCATACAGTTGGTATTTGACAAACTTTTTTTCAAATAAAAGACCTTTTTAAATTAACATGACAGATGACAATTCATAAAACAGTTTTTCAATATTCACAAGTCCTTAGAATGACAGAGCACACATCTGGAAAACGGAATGTTCAGTAAGCATAACTTTTTTAAAAAGTAAAAATAAGAATCCGTAAAAATGTTGCAGGCTCGGTTTGATTGAGCCTGTTCATGGAAGGTACTGGAAAGTGCAATTAAGTTACCGTCCACGCCCCCTAGCACCGGCTTAAGCAGAATTCAACATTTAAACATGAAATGGCAAAATTTTGAATTTAAAAACATCCGCAGATGTGTTCATACGGCGGTTATCATGGAACCTTCAATGTGACACTTCCGTGCCATTCCATGAAAAGCGGCGTATGGTCCCAAAGTAATAGAAAACGTGTGCCCTAATCCAAAAAACAATTAGCGAAACTAAACAAAATGGAATAGCCTTCATATCACAAATAAGACGTCAAATGACAGTTTAAAGCAGGCAACATGTCTTAAAGGCGATTCAAGATTATTTAAGTAGGAACTCATTATGCTAAACACTTGTTTAACAGACTTCCTTGATACATACCAGACACGATTTTCTGTTAACCTTTGACCTCTAGTAAGACCTCGACATTGGAGTTAGTGCTCTTGAGCATGACATTCATTAATTATGCTTAACATTTTGCTAAATTGTTTCAAAATCACTAGATGCATAACTGAGTTATAGGCAGGCATGATTTTCTATTTGCTGACCTTTGATCTCAAAATGTGATCTTGACCTGGAAGCTAGGGGTCTAGGTCATTTGCAAGACACACTGCCTTATAATGCTAGAATTTATAGGTCGAACAAGATGCTGACCTTTGAACACACAAATGCACAGAGGGACAGACAGGGGTAACACTAAGGCCTCTTGCCATTATCATGACAGGGACATATAAAATGGGTACTCACGACTAGTATAGAAATAACTTTAAGGGAAATACAGTTTCAGCATAGCTGGAAAAGAAAGGACACTCATGGCTGGAAAAGAAAGGACAATCATGGCAGGAAAAGAAATGACAATCATGGCAGGAAAAGAAAGGAAAATCATGGACAATCATCACAGGAAAAGAAAGAGCAATCATGGATAAAAAAAAGAAAAGAAAGGGCAATCAAGACTGGAAAAGAAAGGACAATCATGGCTGGAAAAGAATGGACAATCATGGCTGGAAAAGAAAGGACAATCATGACTGGAAAAGAAAAGACTATAATAACTGGGGAAAAGACAAGACTATAATAACTGGGGGACGGCAATCATGATTAAGAAAGAAAGGATTATTTAAACTCTAAATATTTATGACTAATCTACTCTTTTATTCAGTAAAAAAGCGTAACAGTATAATAAATAATTGTATATAGCATATAAAATTCTATTATTGTAAAGGAAAATTTACAAATCATATAATTTTGTTTTAAATGTTTTATCCATTCAAATACTACAACAAAGAGTTTATCCCTGTAAATACCAAAACATAGATTTTATCCATTTAAATGCCAAATCTTTGATTTTCTAACACATCTGATATCAATCATTCAATCTATTTTAATTTTCTGATCAATTTAAGACGTCTGCAAATGAACTAATATTCTAAAGTTACTAACTTATTTAAATAATAAAATGAAAAAGGGGCAGTAACTCTGATTGCATTCAGTTGTATACATGAAAAATAATAAGAATTATTTTAATACACACTGAAGTGACACAGTATTTCATATCCTATTAAAAGTTATGTTAATGTTGATGTTTGCTTACAACATTTGAAAACACAATCTTATCTTGTTATTTTACTACTGATTTGTAAATTTCAATAAAGATCTACTAATACAACTTATTAATTTTTAAGCAGTTGCTCTCAAACAATTAAACATATCACTATCATATCCCAATATGTATTTATTATCTCAACATAAGATAGTAAGACTGTTTTCACCACTTGATATTGATTATATGGGAACAAAATAATAAAAGCCTGCCTATATTAACAAAACAGAAACTATTTGTTTAAACAAGTCTTTTTGTGCAGAGTGTTGATATAGAATCTATACAATCAATTTAAATCCATTTATAAATAAATTTGATTCGATAAAAGTTTGATGTATATTCAATACATTCTGTCATTTGTTTAAGTTATCAATACATAAAAAGTTCAATTTATTGTAAAATTTTAAATAAAACTGTCAGATATTTTAATCATTTTATTGGAAGTGAATATAAATGGGTTACATGAGCAAATAATAGAAAACAAATTGCTATGCATTAATCATGGAATGTTTTTGTTAAATAATAAAAGCACCTAATGTTCAATCTCAGATACATGTAAGCTTTCTTGTTAAGATATAGCAAATTTATACACTTCTCTGCTAGTAATGCATGAACAATGATAAACAGTTATCAGAATATGTGTTACTTTGGATATGTGTATAATAAAAATGAATATCTACAAAATAATCATAATGACCATAACACAAGAATTATAAGTAAATATAAACTTAAAAAGGAAAAATAGTAAATGATAATATAATTATAATAATTGTCTGAGAATAACTAAAAGTAAAAATAAAATAATTATCAACTATATTAAAATACTTGAAAAAAATAGTTAAAGTTACTGTAATATATATTGTTAAAATTACTTTACATAACATAAAAAAAATACATGAGTACATAACTTAAAATAACATGAACATGTGTATATATAGTATATAATAAAATCAACATAATCTTAACACAGATCTCTGATATGTTAACTATTTACCTGTGGATTTTTTCTGGCTTATCTTTATGGTTAACAAATATGTTTACAAACAGGTTTGACTGTACATAGCTACACCTATTTTTTCTGGTAATGGTATGTTTTTATTTTGTCCAATATATATATAAACACAAATTTTAAATGTGTCTGTAACAAAGATTTTAAATGTTTTTATAAAATCAAATCTACAACTTTTGTTCAAATTAAAAAAAGAATAAAATAAAAAAATCTCTATGATAATACCTTATTGGCATGTTACATATGAATGCACACCTAATTTCATTACTGTAAAGTCAACCTCTGACAACAGTTGTCATGGGAACCAATTCTTTGTCACAGTCATCTACAGTGTTGTGTTTATTAGTTTGAAAACCTGTCAGTAATCAACATGAATCCCCCCACAAAGCTGGATTTTTTTCTGACATATTTGCATCTTAGTGCTACATATTTGAAATGCTCTTAGGACTCATTTAAAAACAACATAATATAAAAATATTCCAAATGTGATTATCACCGTCTATTGTCTATTAAATGATTGTGAACCGATATGAAAAATTGAACTAAATAATATCTGTATGTTAATGCCCATTTTGACATTTAGCCATGATAAATTCACCAATAAACAATAGTCACTTGTCTATCTTATACTAAATACTTTACAAAAATATACAAAGGCATGACAAAGCTATAAAAATATAACATTTAATACCGGTATAATTAAAAATAGCTGCTTTGCAACAAATATTTCTTTACAATACAGAAATACAAAACATATAAACACAGTACTGCTATATGTATTTTTTTTTATTAAAGAGATACAATAATTTTCCCACATGTGATTTTAAGCAGGTTAATCACTAATAGTGTTGTGCTAGAAAAGTATATTAATGATATATATCTTGTGTTCATTGCAAAACTGTTGTAAGTCCTTTATTTCAGTTTTACAGTCAAAGACAACCCTCGATATATACAAGTTAAAAATGATTTGAACACACGAATAATGCCCGTAGTCCGACAATGTGGTGTGTATGTACGAGGTACGTTCGAAATGTTTGTGGAATGTTGCTGTCACTCTTTCCTTGGTTCATAAAAAAGAACTTTGATTGATATGAATAGAAATAGTGTCTTTATTCCTGAACATGAGTTTTAATTTTATCATATGCTTTCATTTCCTTCATGAACTATGTGCACCTTAATTACCATGACAATGCAACATCTGCCTACGCCAACATGTTCATACAACATTAATTTAAACCATTGTCAAATAAAATGAAACTGTCATTTTAAGATGAATATTCAGGAAAATTACTGATCTTTTGATTGTTTTTTAAATATGTAATAGTATCTGTCAGGCTGTATCATTTCATTTGATCAACAATCATTTACAGCAAAACCATACCCTTTATCTTGGAACATAATAACATGTATATTCATAAATATTAAATGTATATATTTGTTTATTGTTCCAGAAACAAATCCAGTCTTATAAAAGTCATTAAATCTGAAAAATTGATATAAAATATACATAACTTAGCAGTTCTACAGTATTAAAATTGTTTTTAAGAACTTTCATAGGTCATTTTTAAAATTTGATATCCATATCACCCTCAAATGGCAACTAAGGTTCATACTAGGCCACTTAAACATGCCCAAAATCTCTAATAATAGACAAACATAAAAACAAAAGCAAAACATAAAGATCTAGATCTATAACAGAGACAAATACCAAAATAATAATGAAAATGTCATAGTGACTATTTTCTGTATGATATGTATGTAACAGATAAGTTATTTATATACCAATTAACCCTTATCTGACCAATTTTGTCTGAGAGACTTGTTCTACTTTGTTCTGTCATTACCCTAAACAAATTTTAATATCAAAATGCTAACATCTTATATATAGGCTGCAAACAGGTTTAAATTGGTTCAGACTTTACAGACTCAATCAAACCACGTCTGCAATTTTCTTGTAATTTTGTTTAAATTAATGCTATCAAGGTATCATCCTTCATCCAAATTTTTATATAGGCTGTTCTAATTTAATACATGTAACAAAGTTAAGCTTAAAACGGGCATGTAAGTTAATACACCATAAAAATTGGAAGCAATATCAGACTAAAATGTGCATAAGACATTACATCACAGTGGAAGCAAATCTAATATAGATATCTTAAATTGTACAAATAACAAAAGTATAACAGACATTTTGAATGTTTACATGTAAAACATTGTTAATAAACAAAGATAATGTGAAATTCAAAAATATAAAAAATGCTATGTATAACAAAGACAATACAAATGTTACAAAATAAGGCTATATATTTGACGCTATGAACTTGAGTTATAAGATAAACATTTCACTATATGTAACAAATATTATCTGAACATACAATAGTCATGTACATTTTGTAATATAATGCTGATATATACCCGGTATATACTGGTAACTACAGGTAAAATTTCTATAGTAACAGAAGATAAAATATCTAATAACAAAATGAAAACATTGAAATTGAATTTGCATTTCTATTAATTTTTTTTCTCAAAAAAGTAAATTGTTAGCATATAGGCTGCAAACTGTTTTAAATATGATCAGACTTTATGTTGGGTTACCTATCTCAATATGGGTAACAATTGACACGATATTAAATCTTAACAGTTTATAAAACTTAAAGTAAAGGGTTAAATTAAAGAAAAATTAAAATCAAGAAATTATTATTTACTTTTTCTATCTTCTATGAATCACATGAATAAGTTATTTGCCTTCTCTGTAAATATACATCTCCTGTACAAAATTAACGGAAAATGAAATCTATGTATCTTGGCAGCACATTTGTATTTATCTTATATAGATTATTGAACACTGTCTTAATTTTGGAAGTGTTAAAAGAGCTTTAAATACAAATCATCATCTAACAAAAGTAAGATTTTTGTTTTTCTATTTATTTGATGGGAATAAATCAGCTGCTTTGCTCAGTGCTGCTAGATTTTCCCCACTTGTACTCTCTTGAATTACCTCCCTTTGTACACTATGACCAAACATTGCTATCTTCTCTGCCAACAGTGCTAACCTCTTCTGTTAATGCAAAAAAGAAATGTTATACAACAGATATTATAGAAAGTAAAACTGATAAACCTCTGAAGAATTTTCTATCATATTACAAACAATAAAGTTCTGATGTGTCTGTTAACTAAGGTCATAACATTGCAAAGATACTGTATTGTTTCCATTTAATGCCCCCCCCCCTCCCAATTAGCAATTAGCCCTCTTAACCTCCCCATTTGCAGAAGAAAAAAATCTTCCCTTATATCTTTAGAATCTATAATGAAAGAACAATCCAAAAAATCTTTATATTTTTATCTAAAATTAAGCCTTTACATCATATATACGCGAATCAACGAACTTTCGACCCCCCTCCTTGAGGCCCATACCCCCCCCCCCCCCGGTCAAAAAGGCAAGAATATTTTGGACTTGTGAGAGGCTTAAAATGGTCTCAGGTCAATCTTAAGGTAAGCTGTATAAACCAACACTGAAAAGGCCTTTGACTCTGTCTCAACCCATTGAGAAGTTACAACTTTGAAATATGTTTTTTAATGTAAAAAAAATCAACGCAAACTAGTGATTCTTGGCAATGTTGAGATGTCCCCTTGTTGCCATGGTAACAAGAAATTAAAGATTGAGCATGCCCTTACAAAGGCTGTGGTCCAGTAAACATTTGTGCCAAGTTTGATGAGTATTAAAACTTGTAACAGGAGGCTTTTCAATTAAAACAGCCATTTCACAAGATGCTCATGGAGTAAAGGGTTAAAAAAAAAATCCTGTATTATATAATTGAATTGTATTTTTAATGAACATATTTTAAAGCACATTTTTATAGTTCTAATTAGTCCCCCCAACCTCCTCCCCCCCCTCCCCCCCCCCCCGAAAACTCTGGGGGTGTTTAATAGAAACAATACAGTACATTAAAATTTTTACAAAGAAAACAATGTACTTAAGATTTAACTGAAATGAAAAGTTACCTTATCATCAATTTGAACAATGCGACCTTCGACCTTTGGACAGAGATGAGTTTGCTCCTCCTCCTCTTTCTGTATACTCATCTGCCTCATGAAAGCATGAGACATTTTCTTACTCTGTCCTGGTTGACGGAAAGCCTCCGTTACTTTTGCGAGACGTGCTATATGCTCTGCATCTGTCATCAAGCTATCTCTCCTGAAAACAGAAGATTCTTCCACTTTCCCTTTATTTTTGTTGACATTCGCCCCATTGTCACTGACAGCAGTTACTGATTTGTCTTTACCATCAAAATTACCTTTAGGTTCACTCATAACTCTCTGAGCTTTGCTAATCTGAATAATTTCCTCGGAAACAGTATTTGTAACTGGTCCATCAGTGACATCGGTCCTCTGCTTCTTTTTCGGACTGCCTTCTGGTGGTTCTTGCAGAACTACTTTTTTAGGACTACTTTCAGCTGATGGTTGTAGGTCTGGTTTGATGTTTGTTAGTGGGCGGGGAGATGGTGGGGGTGATGGTGATGGTGATCGAGATGACCTTCTTTTTGATAAAAACTTGGCAACGGTTTTCTTGATTAGAAGCGTGCGTCTGTGTTAGAAGATCAAACAAAAAATACACACGTATTAGTATAATTATAAATATAATGCACTAAATACAGCAAAACCAAAATCTGAACATCTATAAATGAATCAGTATTGTGATAATAAGTACGAAAACTAAATGCTGATATTTCTGTGCAGAAAAAAATATTTTATATTTAATATATTGATCTACTTGCTTTAAATGCTAAAGTTCTAATTAACTATTTATTACTGATGTATTTATATTAAACTGTAAATACTTTAACTCATGTACATATTTCTAGCCAAGATTATCTCTAATTGCTGAAACAACGCACAAATTTCAGAGTTTTCTTTAAATATTTCATAAAACTTTTAACAAACTTCATCATGATCAAGGGTGATTTGAAAAAGATTAATTTATATACATGTATATATTGCATATGCAAAGAGACATGAAAAAGTCAGACTGAAATCAAATCAAAATATTGATCTCCATTTACTTAAATAAATCATTCTTTTAAATCTTTACTGCACTTGAAAAAGCAGCATTTAATTGCATCATCATAAAAATAGTATGTTTAAATAAATGTCTTTTTAGTCTTTTCAGAAAACAAAAACCCATGGTATTACCAAGCAAGATTGATAATGAATAATCCGAAAACAAATGGACCCCAATCCTTTTGCTGGAAAATGTTTTAGATCATTTATAAGTAACTACATTTTGATATAAAATCAAAGACATTGATCTAAACAGATCCAGATTTTATCAACATCTTTTAATGATTCATTTTGTTACAGGTCAATACCACACCAATGTCAAACTTCACTCTCTCATTTTGCCAAAAATATTTGAATAATTCTTTAACAATGATCATTTGTTTGTTGTGATATTTTCCCTTACCCTGCTGGCCATGTCAGCGTTTAGCCTTTGCCACCAGCAAAGGGCCACGCCAGCCTGTATATTACTATGCCACCAGCAAAGGGCCAGGCCAGCCTGTATATTACCATGCCACCAGCACAGGGCCAGGCCAGCTTGTATATTACCGTGCAGTCTGACCAGGCTCCATACCTTTCGTAGATAAATTTTGGTATTCGATATTAAAATCCCTATATCTTTGAATGGATTGATCCAAATTCAAAGCTGGGCAAATCCATTTTACAAATTCAGCAGGTTAAGGGTTAAATTTACATAAAAAAAAAATCTGTAGACAAGGGACACAAATGTTTTCATCTTCCTTTTTGTCTTATCTTAATGAACATTTGTGTAAGATAATTCTTTTAATGGCTTCATTTTGACTAAGTAAAGGGCAATAACTCTGATTCTTTTTTTAGTTACATCAACAGCTAAAATTATTATTATTTCCATTTACTGATTCTTTTTCTACTAGCTTCACATATTTATAATATCTTAAGATTTGATAATACATATATATATGTCCATGCTGATGGTTAGATTTTAGTTTGAATTCTTGAAACCAATAAAATATACACCAAACCTGTAACATCAATAATCAAGCAAAATCAATGAAATCATGCCAGTTTGAAATTTGAGACAAAAACAAAAGGCACAACCATATTTTATACAAGGAAAGTTCGTTTTTATATATTAAAATATATAATTATCAGGTAGGTCTATCAGATATTATAGTTTTTTTTTGTCGTTTTTAGAGATAATAAAGTACAGTACAATGTACTGATATCATGAATATGCATGAA